CGTTCACGCCGCCCCCCCCCCCCGACACGCTGGCGGTGGCCCAGAGCGAAGGCGAGCCCCCGTCCCGCGCTGTCACCACCACGGTGTAGTCAGAAATGCTCTCTCTGTCCAGGGCGCTGTCCAGCACCAGCGAGTAGTAATTCTTGAAGGTGGACACCAGCTTGAAGGGGACATGGGGCGTCAGGGAGCAGGTCACCTGCCCGTTGACACCAGAGTCTTGGTCTGACACACTGATTAGGGCAATGACGGTGCCCACCTGAGCATCCTCTTGTAAGGGAAGTGACAGAGAAGTGACCACGACCTCAGGTCTGTTGTCATTCAGATCCAGAACTTCCACCTGCACAGTGGTGTGACCAGTCATGGAAGGAATTCCTTTATCCATGGCGTTAACCTGAATTTCATACATACTATTCTCTTCAAAATCCAGTGTCCCATAAACTCTAATTTCACCTGTGTCTGAATTTATTGAAAATATACATTTCTCACTCACTGGCAAGATTATTCTGATTCCGTAAGAAATTTCTCCATTTAGTCCTTGGTCTACGTCGGAAGCATTTAGTTGAATCACTCTTGTGTCATTTTGGACATTTTCAAATAGCGCTACTTTATAGCCAGATTTATCAAACTCTGGAGGATTGTCGTTCACATCCAGGACGGTTATTTGAATCTGAACAGATCCTGTTAGCTCTGGTTTGCCACCATCCATGACCATCAGCAATAAACTAAATTCTGGAGTTTCCTCTCTATCCAATGACTTTTTCAGAACTAATTCAGGCGATATGTTTTTATCTTTTTTCGTTGTTATTTTAAGAGCAAAATGCTCGTTTAGACTTAACACGTAGGTCAGGAGCGAGTTTACCCCGATATCTGCATCAGAAGCGCCCTCTAGAGGAAAGCGAGAGTCCAGAGGTGCTGATTCAGAAACGAGTATGTCTTGTTTTCTTTCTCTGAACACCGGCGGGTTGTCATTAATGTCCTTCACCTCCACGTCCACGTGGAAAACCTGCAGCGGCCGGTCCACGATCACCTCCAGGTGGATGCTACACTCCGCGCTCCGCCCGCACAGCTCCTCCCGGTCGATCCGAGAATTCACAAACAAGATGCCATTCTGCAGATTTACCTCCAGAAGGTCCGCGCGGCCCTTGGACGCCATCCGGAACAGGCGCGGCACCAGTTCCGCCAGCTCCAGCCCCAGGTCCTGCGCGATGCGGCCCACGAAGGTGCCGTGTTTGGCCTCCTCCGGGACCGAGTAGTGGAGCTGGCCACTTTCCGCCTCCCAGGCTGTCAGGAGCAGAAGAGAGAACAGTGGCTGCCAGGCTCCCAGGCCTCTTTGCAAGGTAAACACCATCGCAAATAATGAGCGCTTCGGTGGTAGAACTGCCCGCATTACCGCAGCGCTCGCATGAGATATTTTATGAAAGTCTCCCCTTTCTAGGAGTATAGATTTTAAAATATGTTATCCAGCGTCCTGGTCTATATCAAGTCGATTGTATTGTGTGAATGGTAGGAATCTGGGTGCGGAGACGAAAATTCTTTTTTCACCTTTTGAGTGCACAGCGACATCATGTGACTGATTATGTAAGTACAAGGAAGAGCCTCAGACTCTTTGGTTTAGTCACTTCATGGGTCACTCCAAATTCTGTTTTGATTTTTGGATATTTTCATGAATTATTTGTAAATGCCTATTAATTAATGTATATGATATTAGTAACGAAGCATACTTTTATTATACTGGAGGTTTAAACATTATTTTTTGTTTGAAATGTTGTCCAAAATAACCTTCGAGATATGGTATGTGAGAAGACACTTTCGGTATCATGAGGAATAATATAAAAGACTAGCAAATGTCACACCTGTCCTTACATAATTTACAATGCACCTTGATTTACTGACTCTTACCCTTCACGAGCACTCCACTGTTAAGACTTTAGAGAATCAAGTGTTCCGGCACTTAGTAAAATTAACATATTTCTATTAACTAAATATATTTTATTACTATATTTTATTCTTAAATTTGGTTAATATTACAATTTATCATAAATATGGAGGGTGTCAATTGTTTGGGGGTTCCTTGATGCTTAAATGTGATGACCTTTCATCCAGTTGATCTCACTTACATAACATTAAAACAAAGCTCAGATCCAGATTCTGGAAAGGTTTACTCTAGCATGAGTAAAGCATTTTCACGTGAAATGTTGAGACGTTTCCAAACTTCCACAGTCAGCCATGTGGGAGTCCAGCACTATCAACCAACTATGCCACCTGCCACAACCCCAAACTTCAAAATATTCTAAGGTGGCAATGAAACACTAACATGAAAAGGACCTTTTGAAGTGTTTTATAACCTAATGTCAGTGACTAAGTCTAAATAAAGTGACCTTTTGATTTCCCTC